GACTGGTGTGAGGTGGTATCTCATTGAGGTTTTGATTTGGATTTCCCTGATGCCGAGCGATGTTGAGCACTTTTTCATGTGTCTGTTGGCCATTTGGATGTCTTCTTTGGAAAAATGTCTGTTCATGTCTTCTGCCCATTTCTTGATTGGATCATTTGTTCTTTGGGTGTTGAGTTTCATAAGTTCTTTATAGATTTTGGATACTAGCCCTTTATCTGATACGTCATTTGCAAATATCTTCTCCCATTCTGTCAGTCTTTATTGTCTTTTGGTTTTGTGGACTGTTTCTTTTGCTGTGCAAAAGCTTTTTATCTTGATGAAGTCCCAATAGTTCATTTTTGCCCTTGCTTCCCTTGCCTTTGGCAATGTTTCTAGGAAGAAGTTGCTGTGGCTCAGGTCGAAGAGGTTGCTGCCTGTGTTCTCCTTTAGGATTTTGATGGACTCCTGTCTCACATTTAGGTCTTTCAACCATTTTGAGTCTATTTTTGTGTGTGGTATAAGGAAATGGTCCAGTTTCATTCTTCTGCATGTGGCTGTCCAATTTTCCCAACACCATTTGTTGAAGAGACTGTCTTTTTTCCATTGGACATTCTTTCCTGCTTTGTCGAAGAGTAGTTGACCATAGAGTTGAGAGTCCATTTCTGGGCTCTTTATTCTGTTCCATTGATCTACATGTCTGTTTTTGTGCCAGTACCATACTGTTTTGATGATGACAGCTTTGTAATAGAGCTGGAAGTCCGGAATTGTGATGCCACCAGCTTTACTTTTCTTTTTCAATATTCCTCTGGCTATTTGGGGTCTTTTCTGGTTCCATACAAATTTTAGGATTATTTGTTCCATTTCTTTGAAAACAGTTGATAGTATTTTGATACGGATTGCATTAAATGTGTAGATTGCTTTAGGTAGCATTGACAATCCTCACAATATTTGTTCTTCCAATCCATGAGCATGGAACGTTTTTCCATTTCTTTGTGTCTTCCTCAATTTCTTTCATGAGTATTTTATAGTTTTCTGAGTACAGATCCTTTGCCTCTTTGGTTAGATTTATTCCTAGGTATCTTATGGTTTTGGGTGCAATTGTAAATGGGATCGACTCCTTAATTTCTCTTTCTTCTGTCTCGTTGTTGGTGTATAGGAATGCCACTAATTTCTGTGCATTGATTTTATATCCTGCCACTTACCGAATTCCTGTATGAGTTCTAGCAGTTTGGGGGTGGAGTCTTTTGGGTTTTCCACCTAAAGTATCATATCATCTGCAAAGAGTGAGAGTTTGACTTCTTTGCCAATTTGATTGATTTTATTTCTTTTTGTTTGATTGCTGTGGCTAGGACTTCTAATACTATGTTGAATAGCAGTGGTGATAGTGGACATCCCTGCCGTGGTCCTGACCTTAGGGGGAAAGCTCTCAGTTTTTCCCCATTGAGAATGATATTCGCTGTGGGTTTTTCATAGATGGCTTTTATGATCTTGAGGTATGTACCCTCTATCCCTATACTCTGAAGAGTTTTGATCAAGAAAGGATGCTGTACTTTGTCAAATGCTTTTTCTGCATCTATTGAGAAGATCATACGGTTCTTGTTCTTTCTTTTATTTATGTATTTTGTCACATTGATTCATTTGCAGATGTTGAACCAAACTTTCAGCCCAGGGATAATCCCACTTGGTCGTGGTGAATAATCCTTTTAATGTACTGTTGGATCCTGTTGGCTAGTATTTTGGTGAGAATTTTTGCATCCATGTTCATCAGGGATATTGGTCTGTAATTCTCCTTTTTGATGGGGTCTTTGTCTGGTTTTGGGATCAAGGTAATGGTAGCCTCATAAAACGAGTTCAGAAGTTTTCCTTCCATTTCTATTTTTTGGAACAGTTTCAGAATAATAAGTATTAATTCTTCTTGAAATGTTTGGTAGAATTCCCCTGGGAAGCCACCTGGCCCTGGGCTTTTGTTTGTTGGGAGATTTTTGATTATGGCTTCGATTTCCTTAGTGGTTATAGGTCTATTTCTTCCTGGTTCAGTTTAGGTAGTTGATACATCTCTAGGAATGCATCCATTTCTTCCCAATTATCTAATTTGCTGGCATACAGTTGCTCATAATATGTTCTTATAATTGTTTGTATTTCTTTGGTGTTGGTTGTGATCTCTCCTCTTTCATTCATGATTTTATTTATTTGGGTCTTTTCCCTTTTCTTTTTGATAAGTCTGGCCAGGGGTTTATCAATCTTGTTAATTCTTTCAAAGAACCAGCTCGTAGTTTCGTTGATCTGTTCTACTGTTCTTTTGGTTTTCTATTTCATGGATTTCTGCTCTGATCTTTATTATTTCTCTTCTCCTGCTGGGTTTAGGCTTTACTTGCTTTCTCCAGCTCCTTTAGGTTTAGGTTTAGGTTGTGTATTTGAGACCTTTCTTGTTTCTTGAGAAAGGCTTGTATTGCTATATACTTTCCTCTTAGGACTGCCTTTGCTGTATCCCAAAGATTTTGAATAGTTGTGTTTTCATTTTCATTGGTTTCCATGAATTTTTTAATTCTTCTTTAATTTCCTGGTTGACCCATTCATTCTTCAGTAGGATGCTCTTTAGCCTCCATGTACTTGAGTTCTTTCTGACTTTCCTCTTGTGACTGAGTTCTAGTTTCAAAGCATTGTGGTCTGAAAATAGGCAGTGACTGATCGCAATCTTTTGGTACCAGTTGAGACCTGATTTGTGGCCTAGGATGTGATCTATTCTGGAGAATGTTCCATGGGCACTAGAGAAGAATGTGTATTCTGTTGCTTTGGGATGGAATGTTCTGAATATGTCTGTGAAGTCCATTTGGTCCAGTGTGTCATTTAAAGTCTTTAGTTTTGTTGATCTTTTGCTGAGATGAAATGTCCATTTCAGTGAGGGGGGTGTTAAAGTCCACCACTATTATTGTATTGTTGTCAATGTGTTTCTTTGTTCTTGTTATTAATTGCCTTATATAATTGGCTGCTCCCATGTTAGGGGCATAGATATTTACAATTGTTAGATCTTCTTGTTGGAGAGACCCTTTAAGTAGGATATAGTGTCCTTCCTCATCTCTTATTACAGTCTTTGGCTTAAAATCTAATTTGTCTGATAGAAGGATTGCCACCCCAGCTTTCTTTTGGTGTCCATTAGCATGGTGAATGGTTTTCCACCCCCTCACTTTCAATCTGGGGGTGTCTTTGGGTCTAAAATGAGTCTTTATCTAACAGATATAGCATGACATAATTCCTAGGATCATACATAATCCTTAGGGCTCAAACAAAGGACTGTTTTTAAGTTTATACACATCTTATTCCCAAGAAGTAGCCACCATGTGGTGTCTTTGATTCTGATGTCCTAGTCAAATAAGGCCTTGCAATCAGGGCTGCTGTGTGAGTCTGTGCAGGTTGTACACTGTATAACTCTAAAGGGTATATCTTAAGTTACATGAAGGTGAAAGGTATAGCCTAGATTCATAGTATAGAACATGGAGAATTTTTTTTTGCAACAGCTCATATTGTAAAGCAGGATCTGAGATGGATTTGAGGAAAGAAAATACAATTATTAGCAAAAAATCATTATCATAACATGTATACTCTTGTATGAAAGTGGTATTGGCCATGGGGCAAGAAGGGATTTCAACTAGTTTTTACCAGGCCCCTATTCTGTTGTAAGAAGTTAGCCACATTAGAGGAGTATCTGTTCAAGTCATTACATGCATGGAGAGAGGTTTTGCTGCAACTTATATCAACAGTACACTGTATGCTCTTTCTGAGTTACATGAATCCACATTTACTGAGTGTCTAGTAATGAGCTAGACACTCCATGGATGTGACACATTCTCTGCCTTTAAGGAGGGTAGGATTTCACTGAGAGAAAACATACGCATGATAAATTTTGAAATAACAGACCAGGTAACATTAAAAAAAACCCTAAGTACAAAACTGCATGTTGTAGACTAATCTTGCAGCAGGAGGCCACAGGTCTGGACTAGCAATGAAAGGACTAATTATGAAAGAAGTGGAGGTGGGATGGGGAGGGTGTTTGAGATGGATCTTAAAGACTAGAGAGAATCTCGGTAGATGGGTAAGAGGTCTGGGGTGGGAGGAATCTCTTTCTTCTTGTTTAAACTGACATCAAAGACATGTTGCCTGCAGCTAGCATTCTGGTGATGTTTTTTATTAACAATATAGTGGTCGCTAAAAAAAAAAGCATCAAATACAAGACATCTTTGTAGGTCCAATAAAAAGAGCAACACTGAAAACCAAAAAAAAAAAAAAATCAGTGCAGGCTATCTCGCTCTTCTCTCTTTTGGTTTGGTGCTCATGAGATGCTACCTGTGGAAGCCAGCCAACTGGGAAGAGGAGACAGAAGGTGGAGAGGCTTGAGGCAATTAAATAGGATGGCCTCCATTTACAGAAGGTGACGCTACTGTGCAAGTAGGACTTTCTCTGTTTAGAGCTGAACTCCATTACTTTGCTGGAGTTGGATAACATCACTTTTATGAACTTATCTCTAAGAATGTACCCCTAGAAGCGACTGGAGGGCAGGGGAGATAAAATGTGACTTGCAACAAAATCGAGTCTGTAGGAACACATGTATCAAGTTTCCACTGTATTTAAGGTCATTAGGTACAGAAGGTCATCAGGGACAGCACTGAGTTGGAACTGGAAATGGAGTCAAGATAGAGAGCAAAATCGGACATCTTTATATTCCAAAGCAATCTTCTCCCCCCATGGTCCATGAAAAAGAGAATAAAACACAAGCAATATAAAGCACAACTGTAGGCAGGGGTGCAGGGGTGGGTGAGGGTCACACAGGGAGCAGAAAGAGCTGCTGATCCTGTAGAAATCTTTCCAGATGCAGAGAAAGAGAAGCACTCCATCTTCAATATAGGAGACACCACCATGAGATACTTTTCAGGGAGGGATTTGAAGGATCCAGTGACACTTTAGTATCCCAAGAATTTTTTTTCACAGAGGTTGCTTTAATATGGATCATTTGTGCTGAATGAAAAACAGGAGAATATAAATTAAAATAAGGAGATTAAAAATTGCAAAACTTAACAGTGTTAGTAAAGGTAAATATTCACTGAACGTCAGAAAAGGAGTGAAGAAAATGCCTTTCAGATAGGTTGGACAAGACACAGGACATTCACTAAGGCAAAAGAATGAGAAGAAAACCCTAAAGCAATGCTTCTCACACTTGCAGGTACTTGCCACCCAGAGGTGGTGTTAAAATGCAGACTGATTTAGTAGGTCTGGGTGGGGCCTGAGATTCTGCATTTCTCACAAGCTCTTTGATGATGCTCATGCTGCTGGTCCATGGACCACACCTGGAGACATTTCTGGGGCACAACCTCTGTTTTAGGATCAATGAGTATGAAGGGCATTTTAGATAGACTTTAAGTGGTGGGCAGTCAATGAAAAGTAGAAGTTGACAATGCTCAAATAGAAAGAAAAATTAGAGAAAAATCAAAACTTATGAAAGGTATGGTAGTAACTCTAAATGCCTGATTCTGGTGGGACATGATTTAAGGAAATGGTTACAAATCTAGTTTCATGAAGTAAATGACACCTTTTTGTGTGTGTGTGACACAGTTGTCTCATTCTTGCAGGGGATGGGGGAGAGGGGAGGGAGCGGGGAGGCAATTATGGCATGTCTTAATAGCACCTTTCAAAGGGAGAACCAGATTCTGAGACTCTGCTCTCATGATGAACTGCCAGGGTAAACCACAGTTCAGCAGCTGCAAATGTGCTTGCCAATACAGAGATAAAAATGTTTCTGAAAACAAAATTTCACATATACCCTCCACTGAGGTTGGCATCGTATCTTCCTGTGTATCTTGGGTGTAGCTTTTACCCAGGCAGAATTTAGACACTAGAAACCAAATGAGGTGGTAAACAGAACCAATTTGCAGAAGAGTGAAAATAACCTGGCAAGAATTGAAACCACAAATGCCCTAGGTGTTGGTCATTCACCAGCGAAAAACTTTCAAGGATGAGCACACAGGACTATGCAGGTTGGCGCCAGGGGTTTAAAAAAATGCTCCAATATTTAGTGTGATGGTTTTCATTTTATGTTTGGCTTGTTCTAGAAACACACTCTACTTCTTCCATCCCACCCTTCCTCAGTACCATCACAAATGGTTTCGGGGAGAAATCATCGCATCACTGGGAGAGGAGGGTGTCTGGGACTTAGGGCTCAATCACTGAGTCCTGAGTTCTAGAAGCATAAGGATGAAGCATGATCTTTGGATCCAGATGGGTATAAATCTCAGCTTTTTCATTTATTCAGTGACCTCAGACCAGATATTTTGTTTCTCTTTACCTCAGTTCCTTCACCTGTAAAATGAGAGTATTAATAGTACTTCTTCCCCACAGGCTTGTAGGCAACATTGAATGATTTCAGACACCTAAAACACTCAGAGCAGTGTGCAGCATGGAATTAATGTTTCATAAATGTTTACAATTATCTTAACTATGTCACTAGCTCAGGGCCTATAGGAAAGTTCTTTAGCTCAGTTATAGAGTTTGAAAATGATGTCCATCAAGATCCCTTCAAGACCTAAAATTTTATAATTCTATGAATTAAAGTCACTTTGGTCAATAAATGAGAGGTGTCTCAAGGCAGCTGGGCAAATACTGCTTCTTTGCTAAGTCCTTCTAGAACATCTGGTGACTCATTCAGGACCTATCTTGATGGGGCCAGCCTTCCTTTCCAACTTCTGTTCACAGCTCCTCTACACCCTGGACTCCTGGCAGTTCCAGTCACTGCCCCCCGAACACGCTGCCCCAGCCCCACTACCATAGCGTGTTTAAATCATTTCCCTGTAGTCTCCCCTGCTTCTCTTCATACACCTAAATCCCATCCATTCTTCAAAACCAACCCAGGGTCCACCTTCTTTATAAGATTTTCTGTGATCAACAAGCTTCTTCTGTATTGAAAAAGTCCTTTAACACAGAATTCATTGTCTATTACCATCCTCTGCCTTATATTTTTCTGAAAATATTTTTTTTTATTTTTTTGTCTTCACTGCTCAACTAGATAATAATCTCCCTGAGGTCAGGGTCAAGGACTTACTTTTCTTGGTGTCTCAGTCAAGCTTAGCATTGTTCCAACACAAAAGTATGCAATAAACAATAATTGATTGATTCATTGTAAAAATCAGTGAGCCGTTAAACTTAATATGGCAATTAGCTGAGTGTGGTAATGAACTTAATGCTAATACTCTTCCTGCCAGCCTCTCTTCCTGTCCCCCAAGGTCTCCTAAAAATTGAATTGATCTGCTTCCATCTAGTGGCAATTAAAAAACAGGTGGTTCCTGTGACGAGAAAACAGCTCTGGGTGGATTGTGCCAGAAAATACTTTCACTCACTGGGTGTGAGCATGAAAGAGATCTTTACATCTTGTGGATTTCCTGCCCACAGAGATAGGGAGCCCAGCCCAGAGAAGGGTCTAGGTCCCCATCTACAGTATTGAATGGAAGATAGGGCAATAAAATAAAATAGAATATGAGAACCTCCACTGACCTGATGTTCTTATCCAGTCATCCAGTTCCTGTCTCATCTCCTAGGCAAGCTTTTTAAAAAGAGATGGCTTACGTGTTCTGCCTCTACTTCCTCATCCCCACTGAACCTTAAACACCTGGCTATCAGACTTCTTCCATCATGACCTCAAACAGAACAGTCTCTGCACTGATAACCTTGTTACGTTCAGTGAGAACTCACTGGCTCTCCCAGAAGCCCTTGAAACAATTTCTACTTCCTTCTTTCCTTGGCATTCATAACCCAGACTCTCCTCATCTTCCTTCTGCCTCTCTGGCAACTTCTCCCCATTCTCCTTTTCCTCAGTCAACCCATTTTTGTTTTGTTTTGTTTTTTTAAAGATTTTTTTTTTAATTTATTCATTTGAGGCACAGGGATACAGAGAGAGAGAGCATGAGCAGGGGGAGAGGCAGAGGGAGAGAGAGAAGCAGGCTCTCCGCTGAGCCAGGAGCCCGACGTGGGACTCGATCCCAGGACCCTGGAATCATGACCAGAGTTGAAGGCAGACGCTTAACCATCTGAGCCACCCAGGCGTCCCTTGTCACCCTGTTTGATATGGATTTTACCCAGGTTCCTGCCCTCTCTCCCACATCATCTTCTGTTCTCCCACTCCACACACTTCCCAGATGACTGTACCTGCTCCCAAAAGAGCGGTTAACCTCCTGGAATGTGAGAAACCCCAGATCCACTCTCCTGCCCCAAGGTGGCCCCTGTGCAACAGACTGAACCAATCAACTGTGGATGAGCCACAGACACCTAAAGCTCAACACAGACAAAACTGAACCTATGATCTCCACCTCCAAAACTTCTCATTCTTTTATGTTCCCTTCTCAGTAAATAGTATAGTATAGACAGGAACCATCCACCAGTTCCCCATCAAAATTACAATGACTTCTTTGATTCTTCTCTCTCCCACTTAGCGAATTAATTACCATATTCACTTGATTTTACCTCTTACCTCATGAACTCAACCTCACTGCTATTTCTCTAGACAGGCACCATCAGCTTTAACCTAGTAACTTCAAATGCCTCCAAATCAGTTATTTGCCTCCAGGCTCACCCAACTCCCCTGTTTGCAGAATGATCCTCATAAGGTGAAAATTTCAGCATGACATTCACCTGCTTTATCCGAAAAGACCTGAGGATTAAGTCCATGTTCCTTAATATGGCTTATAAATTACTCTATGATCTGGCTTATGTTGCCTTATATCTCCCCAGTTTCTCTTTTTTTAATATTTTATTTAAATTCAATTCAGTTAACATATAGGATATTATCAGTTTTGGGGTAGAATTCAGTGATTCGTCAGTTGCATATAACACCCAGTGCTCATTACATCACGTGCCCTCCTTAATGCCCATCACCCGCCCCATCCCCCCCACCCATCTCCCCACCAGCAACCCTCAGTTTGTTCCCTATAGTTGAGGCTCATGGTTTCTCTTTTGCACTCAAAGCTACAGTTCACTGAACTAGTAAGAACTTCTTCATAACAATTTGTGGTTGGTAGCATGGTTGCCTGAACAAGCAACCAACATCTTCAGGGACCATCCTGCTTCTTCCAGCATTTTAAAACGAGCTCAGTTTTCTAACTGGGCCCTCAGTATGTCACCAAAGTCTCACTTTCATAGTTCTTCCTACTTACACTCTCCTTCCCAAAATCTCTAAGCAAGTCACTGAACCCCTGAAACTGAGAAATGTTTTGCCATGTTCAATTCTGCCAACTGAACCGTGTATTTACATATGCCTGCATTGCTTCTCAGTCTGTGTTTCTCCAGCTGAAAAAATCTGAGGTTCAAGACCAAGCTAAAAAAAAATTGCCTCATTGCGGAAGCCACAGGCAGAATTCATGTTCCCTACCTCTTTCACGTTTCTGAAGGTCAATGCTTATCAGAGCAGTAGTCATTTACATTCTTATACTAGGCACTGAAGGCCTGGGGTCCAGAATTATACCTTCTTAGGGCCTGGGATTTATTAGTTTCTCAATAAATGCTTGATGAATTGAATGTTTCCCGAAAACTGTATTTGGTATTGCCCTTATATTCCTCTAGGACAAGAAGAGAAATCATCATGCTTCCAATCCTTATAGAAAATTCAGGGATAATCAGAAAGAGCTCCCTTCACATAACTGTCCTTTCTTAATAGGGCATTATTTGTTCATTCATTCATCCATTCATTCAATCAATCATTCTAATCCCCTGGCACTAAAACAAAACCACCCACACACAAAAAAGCCAAAAGCACAGCTTTTAGAGGAGGCTGGTGGATTATCACTTTATATGGAAACTTCATTTGAATGAGACCTCATGTAAATAGTTACTAAGGAGTTAACATGTCTAGCTATAACAGGAAGTGTCTCAAGGAAGGTAGAGAAAAGATCAACAGATGTAGAAACTTCTCACTGATGAAACTTACCTTTTCTGGGACTCTTTACCTAAAAATAGAAGAAATAGGAAAAATGGCATCAGTGAAAGTAGACAAGTCCAATTGTAAGAGAGAAGGCTGAGTCCTACTCCCAAAATTGGCTTTTGAGGTGTATTGTGTATTTGTTGGTGGACCCCAGCTGTGTGTAAGGGGATTTGAGATGCTGGCTTAATGTGCTAATTCAAACAGTGGTATATATTCATACATAATAGACCCATTGATACAGATGCTTCTGCATTCCATTTCATCCTTTATGCCGATCATAGAGACAGAAGTCTAGCCCGAATTGCCTGATGGTCAGTCCCGCTATGCCCATACACGTGTTTACCTCTTCCCACCCGCCATCTCAGCCCACCTGCAGATTCTTCCCTAAGAGACTTGGCTACTAATACTGTAAGAATATGTGTCATTACGTCTCACACCACCTTGTCTGTGAGAATCCACAAAGAAATTTTACTCGGGTCTTGGTGGCAGGAATTACTCATTCATCTGAGTAACTGATGTGTTTTTATCTTACAAACACAGTAAATATCATAACTATTTACGCTCCCTTCTTTGACTGGCTGCCAGGAAACAGAGCCAGAGCTGAGACCCTTTTCTATCAAGCGTGACACACATTTTTGTGTACTAACTTCACCTCTTGCTCCAACTTCTTTTTATGCCCTAAATTTTGGCCTTCCTTTCCTTACCTACTTTTAAACTAATTTTAACTTACTATGTTGAATACATTTCATAAACCATCTTACATTATTTCTGAAAAAGAAAAGAGTATAAATAAATAGATTAATGAAAGAACTGCAGAGTTGGACTCCAGAGGAAATAAAAGCAAAAAAAAAGCTTTTTGAAAAAAAAAAATCACTGGGAAGCACTGTGTTTCAGTGGCTATAAACTGGAGCTCTAGAATCATCCAGTCTGAGTGCAAATCCTGTTTTATCAACTGTGGTGTGTCTCTGAATAGCTGCTTAGCCTCTCAAGCCACAGTTCCTTCATCTGTGAAAGGAGCATGATTCTTCACTGAGTTGGTAAAATAAAACGTATTCAAACTGCTTAGGTCAGGGCCTACCACATACACAGCCTCAGATATTGTTTTAAACCTTTAAAATGTTAGAATTTACTCTTTTACACATTTCCTCCAAAATTCAGCCTGCTGATGACATTGGCTGTTTGCATTTGAGCAAAGAGAATTAAATCTTAATTAACTTCAGGTTCTGTTTGTTTATCTTCATATAAATATGTTTTCCTTTTAGGAACAATGACACACATAACAATACATGAGCAAGAATCTGTTACTACTGAGAGAGTTCTTTTTGAATAAAAGGAACTAAGGGGCATATGTTCAGTTTCATGTCTTGTTCTAACCTTGTGGGTTGGTTCAGGTGGGGAATAAGTCTTCCAACCAAGAGCTTCATTAATCTGAAGACCACTGGTGTTAAGGGGCATGTGTGGATGGGAGTCTGCTCTCTGATTCTGGCCCCTGTTGATATGGGATTTGAGACATTTGACCTAAAATCCCTGCCTCAGTTTCCTTATTTATCAAACAGGGCCAATGATAATGACTAATCAGAGAATGGTTATCGAGGGGGAAAAGTGTTTCTAGACAAGCCCATACAGACGGGCATGCATTTCTGGAGCTTGCATTTATGTCTTTTCCAGAAGAACGGAGCAAAAGCCCGGATATCAAGACAACTAGGGCAGGTATCAAACTGCAGGTTCAGAAGATCCATCCAAGGACAGGACAGGAGTCAAGAATCTAGTCATTTCACTGGCTACTATGTCCTAAATATTCACCTGTCCTCTTTTTCCAGCTTGCTGAACCCAAAACACATATGAATTCCTCAGAGTTGATAACTACTATACACATGCAGATTTATTGCTTTTAACTTTTTTTTCTTGTAAATGTGTCAGCTACACTGTTAGAAAAGCTCTGGGGGGTTAACCTGGGAACTTAACCATCATTCCTAACACCGTTTCTATAGGAAAAACATTCTTGTTGCAAAGAACTAACTTACAACTACAATCTTTGGAAGATAAAGTCACTTGAAAGTTGGAAATATCAGAAGATGTTCCACAAATGAAGGCTATTAAAATGTTACATTAAAGATACCCTGACTCTCCTACAGAGTCAGTGATCTCCCAGGGCTTCTGTTCTTTTTGTTGGCATACATTTATCTAGCCCAACTGCCCGTTATCTGTTTCCTGTTTGCCCCACACTTATTCCCACAGCAGGGGCATGTAGTTTTCAGGTTATCAGTTTGAGATCTTGTACAGAAATGACTCCAGGGTAAAAAAATTTTAAAAACAACCCCACTGCTTTTCTCACCCCTGCTGAGCCACCTTCGCCAGCTAACCCCCGCCCTGCACCCCACACCCTGCCACTGAATACAAGTGACTTCATTCTAGTCTTTAGATTCTAACAGTTATTAAAAGACTTTGGAATTTGGGGATATCCTACTTATTAAGATGACTCCCAGCCCCCAAATCCTTAAAGGTTATTTAGAGAACAGCCCCGTCTCCCAGAGGGTGGTGTGTAATGGTCCACTGCAATCTCTACCCCTCAGTTCTGTCACCATCATCCAAGGTAGGAGGGAAAAAAAGACAATTGGGGTCAGGCTTTGAAGTCTCAATGGAAAGGATAATCAATGGCGGGAGAAAAAAAATCTCATTCTTCCTGTGCCTTAGAGTAATACTTGAGTTCTTCATATTGTACTGTAAGATGATGGGATCCAGTCTTAGCAGAATTTCCAAGAACAGGAGCAGAGACACATGAGCGGATCAGGGCCCTCACTTGACATGAAGGAAGCTCTTGCACATCAACGGTGCCCCCTTCCATCATCTTTCTGGGTTGGTTATAAAAATAATCTAGTATCATTCTTATATTTGGAATGAAAGATCAGATCACAGTAGAAGACCGCTAGGGATTGGTAGATAACATTCCTGCAACTGGCAGTGAGGATGGGTGAGAGGCAGCCTTTATAGACCATACTCACTGAACAGAATACATACTAATTAACTGATGGAAGTAAAATTAAAATGGCAATCAACTGACTCCATAGAAAGGCAACACCAAACAGTTGGTTAGCAGTTATTTTGAGATCACTGATGGCCTCTGAACTTAAGGCAGTGATATCTCAAAAGCTGCTAATGTCCATGAATTTCCTAGTCTTAAACGTTTCTGCCAGGTGAGTTTGGCCAAATGTGGCAGTGCATACTCAGGGTCTGCCACAGACAGTGGGCCTATAACCAGCAAGTCGGTCCCACTTTAAGGTTTGGACATACTCAGGAGGGAGGTGAGGGGAGTGATGCTGTTGTTTTTCCCTGGTGGTGTCCCATGTATTGTGCCAGGCAGTAGCTATTGGCTTCTCAAACAGCCCTCCTTATTCCCTTTTCTTCTCCAGGCCAGAGTGGAGGGGAGGCAAATGCAGTGCATTTGGTTAGAACTGTGACCTTAGTGAATAGACACAGGGGGGAAAACGTGAGGATTTTTTTTTCCAGAGACAATGCAATTCCCACACGTAAGAAGTCAGACAGATATGTGACTCAGGTTTTGGGGAACAGTGCCTTAAAAACCTTATTGGACATTAGATTCCTTTTCTAGTGGAATTGTAGCATTGAGATCAAAGGCATTTAGGCTCTTAGAGGACAGAGATTATACGTCCTTTTTTTTTCAGAATTAAAGAAGAGCAAAGAACCATTAAAATATCTCATTTGTCTATTATCACCCTAGCATGGTGCCTTGAAGACAGTAGGCATTTTTAAAAGGTTTGTCAGATGAAAATCACAAATCGGCCAACTTGTTTTAATGGAAGTATGCATGGGCTGTTTCACACATCCTCAGGGATGATATCTATAGAACACAGAGCTTGGTATCTTGCTTTGGTTGAACTGATCATACTTAATTTCCTGTGTGTTTCTATATTTTTTCCATTTTGAATTGTATTACTTTCATATGAAGGCAAACTCACATACCTTTCTTTAATCTTCTCGCCAGCCAAATGATAAATGCCAGCCCAGCAAAAGCAGTAACCATGACTGCCACTGGAATGAAGACAGGGTTATAGTCGCCCTTCTTGATCATTGAGAAACTCCTGTCCACTTCTGAAAGAGAGATCAGTAAGGAACAGAGCACGAGGCCACAGCACTATGTACTTAGTGCCATCTCGTGACATTAGGCTTTGTTCCTCCCCATGTCTCCCAGTAATAGCCCATTTGATGCCCTTTGATAGATGATGAAACTAGCATGGGAAAGACCATGATGAGCCTACAGCAGAAGCAGAGACAGGACAAACTTTTCTAGCCCAATGCCTATAAATTCTTAGTCTCCAGATTTGCAATTCATGGAACTCCCAGAAGAAGTACCTAAAAATCTTGGCAAAAAGTGGTCATCATTGTATTTATTTCCACGGCTTTGTTCAATAGTTGGGATTCTACGACACTGAGAAGACCTAACATGTCTAATAAGACTTCAAGAAAAATAAAAGCCAGTGATCTGAACCAGGTAACATATCAATCAAAGGAAATTATTAGTGCTTTTACTTTGAAACAGCTGTGCAAGCATATGCACTTGTTGTTTGCATCCAAGGACCTACATTAAACTGTCTTTTAAATGATGTGGTCCTACCACATATTTCTACTTCCTTCACAAATAAGTAGATGGATACACCTATATCCTCTTGAAAGAGTGAACTAAGTTCATTTGGGAGCTTTTGTTGAAAAACTACCCATATGAAAAAAAAATTAAAAAAAAAAAAAAGAAAAACTACCCATATGAAAAAAGTCTACGTTCCAATACCATGAATTAAACAAATGTACTTTTGCATATTAGTACAGGGTTTGTGTCCCTTATTCTTGGTGTTACTTTGATGAATTCTTTCAAGGTGCTTCCACTCTCACACCCAAATATATAATAGCAAAAAAGCTCAAGTTCCCAGATGATCCAAACAGAGGACAACTTATTTATTTACCTGATTTAGCATGGGCACCGTGTCAAGTGGAGAGTCCATGGAAATGAGGAAGACAGAGTCCTTCTCATACACAGATTAAGGAGGCATCAGCTTAGTGATAATGGAGAAATATCCACTATTTTGGGAATTAGGTGGTCACTGGTGACCTTTGTCGGGACATTTTACTGGACTAACGGAAGCAAGATAGTAGTAGAATAGAAGAATGAATAAGAAATAAGTCAGAGACAGTGCCTTTAGATGTTAAGAGTTAAGATAGGAGTTGAAAATCAGCTGAAGAAAGAAATGGTTGCCATTGAAGGAAGACATAGAACAGCCCAGGATTTTACAGTAGATTAATGTGTACAAATTTATCTTTAGGCCATACACATTTAGCAAAATGAAATTTAAAAGTTTAATATATCTTTCCCTATTATCTCCCCATCTACCAATTCCATTCTTAAATCTTCAGTATATCAGGGCACATTTACTCACTTTGACATTTTGGACTAGGGCTTGACCAGATTCCAGATGATCCACAAATAGTTTTCCTCTCCCCGATTAACTCCGTTTCTTCTGAGCAGTTGAAGGTGCACATGGAGGTAAAGCTGAAGTTCCCCAAGGGGTGACTACAGTCCATGGTCCCCAAATCAGGGGCCTCCAAAGGCTCACATTGAATCACTTCAATGAAAAAGAAAAAAGCAGTATTTCTGAGCAGGGACCCTCCCTTGACCAAAGGTTTTTAGCCAAAGTTGCTTGACTCAACTGTAGAACCACCTGATTGAATCTAGACATTTATAATCTCTAAAAATTAGTTCTGATAATGCTGCTTCCAGACTTTATTTTCTTGAGAATAATGGAGAATGGTGAGTCAGAGGGGAAGCCAGGAGCACTGACCACCCTTGGGAGGTGATAAGGAGGGGAGCAGAGGGTAGAGTTGGCTCCTCTAGGTTGTTGCCCCAGTCTTGGTAACTCTCCAGCTGAAAGTGTGCCATGCTACATGGCCTTGGCCTCAAGAGCTCTCATGGAATATGCTCAGTGAATGCAGAGAATTCCCACCCTTTCACTTGACAAGCAGTGTTGAAAAACACCCTCATTCTCTGAAGCAGGTCACTCAACTTTTGTAAATTCATCAACTTGTTGGGCAACTTAGTTCTATGATTTAAATATGATTTTGATAATTTTATGAGAATTAAACCACTTAAAATTAGTGATTCAGATGCATAAATGTAGAAAATGTAACCAAAACTTCACAGGTACAGATGCGGCCAGTTTTCTCCATATAGGGGTAGTCTTCTTGACAGTTAAAAAGAAAAACCCACCACATTTCAAATGAAAAAAAAAAAAAGATCAAGAGACTATGTGTTTGTTTTTCACAGTGGTTGTTATTCCCCTGAGAATTCACAGAGGAGGAAAAGTAAAAATGATTTTAAGAATAAACCAAATAAAACAATCAAAAAAACCTTCTATTGGGGCTCCTGGGTGGCTCAGGTGGTTAAGTGTCTGACTCTTAATCTCAGCTCATGTCTTGATCTCAGTCAGGATTGTGAATTCAAGCCCTATGTTGGGTACACTGGGTGTGGAGCCCATTTAAAAAAAAAAAAGAACACCAAAACCCTCAACCCCCTGGGAAGGAAATTCGTTGGTGTTCAGTAAGATGCCACATAAAAAGGGTTATTGAGAGGACAGAACAACCAACATTTAACTGAGGTTCAGCAAGACTATTTTTGCCAAGACAATGAGAAAACTAAAAATTACAGTATAATCACACCATGTATGTACATATTGTGAGATGGTTTCAGAGATATTTGGTTGTTTTTTGTTTGTGGTTTTTCTTTTTGATTTGAGCAACAACAATCCCTTTAAAAAACATCACAGTGTGATCTAAGTTAGATTAAACTATGTTCCAAAGAGGACAGAGACTTCTTAGCAAGTCTCTACTGCATTTTCTCAGTTTGTAAACCCAAGGCGGCCATGACAAAACCTCTAGTCTGAAGAGTTACTCACTTTCACAGGTTGGTTCTTGAGATGACCAGTTTCCAAAAGGTCCACAAGTGGTTTCCTCAATCCCAATGAGGTCTGTTCCCTCAGAGCAGTTGAAGGTGCATGTGGAAATAAAGCTAAAGTTCCCCAAGGGGTGACTACAGTCCATGCTCCCCAAATCAGGGGCTTCCAAAGGCTCACACTGAATCACTGCAGTAACAAAAGAAACAGCATTGGCTAGTGTGAAGAGGACCTGATGTCTGGGTTTAAATCCCAGCTCTGCCTTGGCACAAGGTAAATTAACCCTTCCAGCTTCAGTCTCTTCATCTATGAAAGAGGAATCATGGAAGCCTGGGTGGCTCAGTCGGATCTCATGACCTCAGCCTTCGGCTCTGGTCATGATTCCAGGTTCCTGGGATTGAATCCCGCATCGGGCTCCCTGCTCAGTGGAGAGTCTGCTTCTCCTTCTCCCTCTGCCTCTCCCCACTCCTCATGCTCTCTCTCGCTCGCTCTCTCAAATAAATAAATAAAATCTTAAAAAAAAAAAAAAAGAAAGAAATAGGAATCATGATGACTGTGTTAACTTCCTAGAGTTGGTATGGGAATTAAATGATCTAATGTAAGTCAAGGGCTTAAAAGAGAACCTGACTCAAGATATCCATCAACAGATGAATGGATAAAGAAGATGTGGTGTATATATATAATGGAATATTATGCAGCCATCAAAAGGAATGAAATCTTGCCATTTGCAATGACGTGGTTGGAACTGGAGTGTGTTATGCTGAGTGAAATAAGTCAATGAGAGAAAGACATGTATCATACGACCTCACTGATATGAGGAATTCTTAATCTCAGGAAACAAAGTGAGGGTTGCTGGAGTGGTGGGAGGTGGGAGGGATGGGGTGCCTGGGTGATAGACATTGGGGAGGGTATGTGCTATGATGAGCGCTGTGAATTGTGCAAGACTGTTGAATCACAGATCTGTACCTCTGAAACAAATAATACATTATATGTTAAAAAAAAAAAAAAGAAGAAGATAGCAGGAGGGGAAGAATAAAGGGGGGGAAATTGGAGGGGGAGACGAACCATGAGAGACTATGGACTCTGAAAAACAAACTGAGGGTTCTAGAGGGGAGGGGGGTGGGGGAATGGGTTAGCCTGGTGATGGGTATTAAAGAGGGCATGTTCTGCATGGAGCACTGGGTGTTATATGCAAACAATGAATCATGGAACACTACATCAAAAACTAATGATGTAATGTATGGTGATTAACATAACATAATAAAAAAAAGAGAGAACCTGGCTCATAGGAAGTCCTAATTAAACACTAGCTAGTCTTTTTATTATTGTTGGCATTATCTGTGGAGAGAATGTTTAAACCTACATAGGTTCACATGGGAATGACCAGCTCAATTTGGAAATAACTCACATCAGAGCTCCTAGGTATATTAGAGTGCTGGGAGCAGGAGGTGTGGAAAAAGAGTGGGAAAGCTTTAGGAAACATCTCAGCCTTGATTCTGTCTCCACCCTCTCTAGCTCCTACCTTCAGTCCCCTCCAGAAACTATTTCCCTGCTCTGACTTGTGGTATCATAGTAGATCAAATTGAGCCTTGGAAATCATTCTTCATATTTTTAGGCCCTGCCATGCCATTTGAACAACTATTTCAACTCTTGTGTCCTATTGATTATCAAATTTGAGCCATCATTATGACCTTAGTTTTGAGATTTCAATGAAGAATGGACTTGAAGAACTAGAAAATTTTTATATTTTCCATATACAGTATAAGCCCAAATTACGTTCTCCAGTTCAACTCATGCCTGCAAGTAAGTGCCTAATATATCCAGGCATAGTCTCAATCTGATATATGAAATGGTAAATAATACTGATCTCAAGCAGCTGTCAGTTTACCAGGGGATACAGACAAGTACATGGATGACTTCAACAAATGTGGGATAAACAAGAGAGAAATATGTGCAGCTATTGGGACATGGAATTTAGAGACTTAGCTTGTCTTAGGGTCCAAAGAAAGCTTTCTGAAGAAAATTGGTCCCTGAACTATGTCTTAAAGATGAACAGGTGTGTTAGCCATGTGCAAAAATGAGGGATAAAGCCACGAGCAAGTCAATGAGATACAAAGCATGCATGAAAAGTGTGGAGAACTACAAGCATTTTAATGTTCCTAGAAGGAAAGAGGAGGCAGGAGCTGATGGGAGATGAGATTAGAAAGAAAGGTAGGAGCTAAGGTTAAATGCTGTTATCTTTTTTTCAATTATTTTTTGAGTACCTACTATGTATTAAGCATTTCTCTAAGCTTGAGGAGTTCAGATTTCATCCTGTAGGACAAATGATAGTTAGAAATTAAAGGGTAGATATATGTGTGATGTTTGTTTGTTTTTGATTAATCAGCCTGCCTATAGTATGAATAGTATTTTTAAGGGGAGCTAATTTAACCTTGTGGAACTTAGCAAGAAACTAAAGCAATAATCTAGGAGGAATGAGGGCAGTAGTAGCAGAATTGACAAGTAGGAGGAAAATTAGAGAAACAGTAAGTTATAAAAATGAACAGTGTGTTACTTTGCATAAAAGGGGAGGTGGAAGAGTTTCATATCAGAGTACCCATGTAAATGGGGGTGCCTCATACTGAAATAGAAATACAAAAAGGCAAGTTGGCTGGGACAATTGATTTTACAATCTTTGGGGCATTACAAAAGATATACTTAGCATATTTGGAATTATTCAGGGCTGGACAAAGATTTGTCAGTCCAAAGCTCACATGAATCTGTGAGTCCACAGAAGTTGGTAAGTTTGATCAAAGCGGGGTCATGTAGAGTCCCTGGACAAAAGATAGAAGAAAATGAGAAATAACAATAGTGTATGGGCTTGGATAAGTGCCCATGAAGAAACCCAAGGAGAAATGATTATAGGTAGAAAGAAGACCAGAAAAGAATGATAAAATGGAAGCGGAGGCAAAAAAAAAAAAGAATAAAATGTTCAAAAGGGAGTGAAATGGTTATGCCAATGACATAACAATTAAAAAATAAAATATGAAAATATTAAGGATAAATAAATAAATAATAAAAAATAAACTTCAGCAGTGGAGTGAAAGTATTGGGTAGGAATTGAATGAAATGAGTTAGACCTATTCCAGTTGGTTGACATTTAAATTTATTTTAGCTTTAATTCTTTATCCTTTACAAACATTGCTGTTCTCTTCTTATAATTTTCTATCCTATGCACCAGATACTTCAACCATAATTTTTTTTTCAACCATAATTTTGAAACTTAATCAATGTCAATCAAAGGATTTGATGTTTCTTTTGGTAGTGAGTTGACTGGGTCAAAGACTCCTTGACTTTGAGTCTATGTACTCTTTCCTTTCTGTTTTCTACCATCATATCTGTCAATAATTTCAGTAGACTCCCACTGATTCTCTCCATCTTCTCTTTTTGTTCCTCAATCCATCTTATGCATTGCTTCTAGGAATATTGCCCCAAATGCAGGTCTTAAGATACTAAGTGGCCTCCCATTGTCAAATAAAGGCCAGATTCTTTCATTAGGCAGTTAACTCCAGCTTACCTTGCTTTCCATCAAACTAAATTATGAGCATACATAATTTCCACTAGCTAATTGCAAATCCTTTATGGGCAGAATCTATAATAGATTTGTTTTTGTATCCCCCCAAATACCTAGCTCAAATAAATGTGTTGGATTTATTACTATATTTCTCTGACCTGTATTTTGTATCATTATGTGAACTTTTCTTTTCAGCCTTGCCCTGTCATAACTTTGAGGATTACATAAAAGAGCAAGATTACCTAATGGTTAACTCACCCTCCTAACAATAAATGGCAATGTTTCTTTCAAGCTTTAGACTTCTAACGAATCCAACAAGTTGGCTAGATTATGAGTTCCCTAACAACAGGAATCTACCAAGCTGCCTTCTTTGTGAAACTCAAAAAGACGTGCTAAGAAGTGATTTGAAACTTCATGCTGACTTGTGAAATCTTTCAGAAAACATAACAACATTGTGCAAGCATATCCTTCTGATCAAAACTTCTCCATTTCTTGGAATAGCAGGTATCATTTTGTCCCAGTCAACCTCCACAAGTTACAAGAACCCCTAAACTATATATAGGAAGAAACAAGTCAGGATGGGGGCTTACCAAATTGACACTGGGGTCCATAGTAGCCCACATCACAGTTGCAGGTGTAATTATTGATGGTTTCCACACATTCTCCATGGTTGCCACATGACCAGGGCTGACAAGAAGCTTTAAGGGAGGGTCAGAAATAAATGATTTTAACATGATTACTTCTTAGTACTCATAATCATTTCTTCAGGTATAGATAGCTTTCTGGCTGCGACTATTTAATTAACAGAAAGGTTTATTTGTACATTCATAGCTTTTTTTGGCAATAAAACCATATGCTAGAATTTTTTATTTATGTAATATACTGGCCATATAGCCACAGACATATACATAGGATGAATTTACCAAGGCCAATACTCTATAACACTTCAGAGAAACTTAGTGACATACTTTGAAACTCTTGGAATACTTTGTTTTAAATGTTATAAGTAGGTTAAATGATGACCCAACCCCAACCATTTCTGCAATATGCTTGACAATCCCTTCCTTTATAGAAAATACTAGAGAAAGATTAAGTCTGAACTTGTTAAATCAGTAGAGAGCCCAATTTACAAGAGATCAAATTAACTATGTTTCATTGTTGAAATATGACTTGGAAAAACACTGTTTTGGAACTGAAAACAGAAGTTTCCAACCTCCACAGATAATGAAACATGGCAATATTTCATTTTATAGAATTATGTAAGATTAAGCCAAAGAGGAAACATGAGCATAAATCCCCCTACCTTACAGTGAGGAAACAGGCATCATGTGAGCCTGAGCTCCTGGCCAGACCCATCTCTCTGCTTCTACTTCCCTGCCTTACTTCTCACATACACTTACATATTGATGTAAATTGATTTAGAGGTGTAGTTTTGGGGTGTTAGGAGCAGCCTCACATGCCAAAAATGCACAGAAGTGACATGATTTTATTTTTATTTTTTTGGAGGACTGGATTTATTTTAGAATGTACTAGAAACTACTTTCTTCCCTATCATCCTCCTGGGATGAGTCCCATCATTCTCTCCACTTTGGCCACTCCCTACCTGTGTAACAGAGGGCTCTCTTTTGTTTGTAGCAGGAGTCATCATTCCACTTTCCTGCGTCTTTGATCCTCTTGATGTAGATCTCCACACAGTCCTCTTTGGACTTCTTGTTATTAGGCTCTCCATCTCCCCAGTTCTCCGCTTCTTTTGTAAGAGACTTGTTGGTTCCCACCCAAGTCCATATTCCTCCTACTTTCCGGATTCCTATCCAGTAGTAAGTTTTGCTGAGGGGAAGTGTCCTCTCCAGGTACTCAATTTCCCCCTTGTTTTGTATGGCAACTAAATCTGTGTAATTTTCTTGGCAGTACCTTCTAGCCCTCGCCCAGTTCATAGATTTTTCAGAATAGTGGTAAGTCCAGCCATTGGTTCCATGACGTGCAAGGAAATCTGAAAGACATCAGTGTGAATTATGCAGACTCTCAGTTACAACTGAAAAGAACCTAGAAGTAATCCAGGCTGGGCTTGCCACTTAAAGATGACGAAACCAAGACCACAGAATCAGTCATTTGCAGATTTTGAGTGGAACCTAGACCTTCGGGTCCTGATCACTTTTCACAGTAATATATAATACTTTTTGCTCATAGCAAATTTGGTAGCTTCCTAGATTTTATTTCATAACCTCATTTTTTCCCTCAAAATTCTTCCAAGTGAAATTTAACCAATGTATTTTAGAAATTCATATTTCTTTTTCTATTTCTGTATAATATATATCCCTAAAACTTACTGCCCACTTTTTTATACTGGGATAATTTCCTAAAAGCCAACATTTATGTTTCTGTGGGAGAAGTAATATAAGGACAGGAATAACAACATACTTTTAAGTATTCTCTTTCATATCAAAAAGGTAATCTTTTACCACAGGAAGAGCTGCTTCTGGGAAAGCCTCAATACATAGCTCAAGCCTTATATATCTAACTATATTTTTAAAAAAGAATAGTTTACAAAACCAAATGCTGCAGGATTATGAAATTGATTTAGATCTTGTTCTGTGCACAAAGATACTCAGCTGATGGTGTTTAATAATCATACGGGCTCTTCAAATAGGAGGGCTTTGACAAAACCGAAACAAACACATAATTATGCAATGACCTCATGGTATCATATGCCAGTCTAAGCATGGTATGATCTATGTGAAATGCTGTTCTACCATTACGGTAAATGTTTTCATGGTCATCAATATTTATTGAGTTTTCACTATGTAGGGCAAAAACCATGGAGGAATACCAAAGAAAACATAGATCCAATTTTTACAGTCTCCTAAGGATTCCAAACAAGGAATAACAGATGCAAAGAAAACATAATTAATCTTGATCCAATTAAACATATCAGAAGTGAACAGAGAACTGAGAAACAGATAGGATTAATGAGTAAGGAATGTAATAAAATAAACATTTGGAACAGAGTTTTGAAGGAACATTCTACCAGAATATAAGTTCTAAGAGAGAAGAAACTGTTTGGTTCAGTGCTATATCCTCAGTGCCTAGGACAGTGCCTGGCACATTATAGGAACTTGGAAAACACTTGTTGAATGAAAAGAGCACTAGCTTTGCAGGTGACATGAGGAAGACATGGCATAAGGAATGTGTCAGGGGCAGAGAAAAGCACATTTGCTTGGCCAGAGCTCAAAATCTAAGCCAGGGAGTAAGAAGGACTAACTTACTTAAGAAGGGGAAACAAGGTTCAAAACAACTGCTGGAGAGTCTTCAAGAATCAGACATAAAACTTATCACACTAATGAGAGAAGAATAAAAAAAATATATATAAAAGGCACACTTTAATTGTAGAAATAACATTGACATGCACTAAATTATTGAAAAAAAAATAGAAAGTATCGAGCACCCGGCTGGCTGAGTTGGAAGAGCATGTGACTCTTGATCTTGGGCTTGTGAGTTCAAGTCACATGTTGGGTATAGAGAGTACCTGAAAATAAAATCTTTTTTAAAAAAATAAAAGTACCCTGCTAAATATTTGGTATGGATTGTAAGGGTCCCATCAGATTTTCCTTAATTGACTTTATTTCTTCATAATTAAGACTTTTGTGGGATTATCAGGATCTGGACCATGCAACAAGGGTGTGGCAGGCTTAGAAGGTTTCTGGGGGAAGTACTAAAAGTAACAGAAGAAAAGGACATTCATAGAAAGGATAGAACTAACAACTATCTATCTAATATTCTTCCCTGTGACTACATGCACCCAGTGGATATTTAAGAAAAATAAGCGTAAGTTAAAAAGGGCTTAGCAATATACAAATGCCATAACGTACCACAACATAGCACTGTCCAGACCCACAACTTGAAGATATTCCATGAGCCCCTCTGAGAACTCTGACATTTCCATGGAAATATCTGCAAAGAAAATACAAAATTATAGTTAGATTTATATTCTTAAATCACAATTTTTAGAGCACCTTGAGGAGGTGGCTGCAACTTTCTTAAAGTTCAAAATAAAATACATATGCTCACTAACCCTGTCTGAAGGAAGAGGTTTCTTAGATGTGCATGAAAAAGTAGCATTAAATTTGCTTCAAAACTGATACAGAGTTGTTTCTTTTCTTTTTCATGTTTTAGCCTTAGGTTGCTGATTATTACTACTCTGATTTTTTTCTACATTTCAATATTTTTTTGTACTTCCTTTCTGCTGAGCTGTTAGATGAAACTATTTGATACTTAATATGTATATTTTCAAGGTGTTCTTTGATGCTTAATGAACTATTGAGGTCTGAGATTTAAATGTTAAAATCTTACACTGGATTACAATGGTTCGATGCTTCAAACACTTAAAAGTATTAGATAGCCAGACACCAATAAAGAAAAGCAGTTCATTTCTTTTTCAATTAAAAAAAAATACACTTTGCAGAATCCAGACCACAAGTTCTCTGCACACCTTAAAACCATATTTTCTGAAGTGTATCACCTCTCAGGTAGCCCCAGTGTTCACCTGCAAAAGTGCTCATTTCAACAAAATAGTACTTCTTCAAGAATCTCACCAGAGACAAATCAATGAAGAGAAATCAGCACATCTGAGAAGAAAGATTCTAGAAGCACCTTTTAGACTCAGCATTTTTAATTATTGGCTTTGTTAAAACCAAAAATGAAGTGTGTTGTTTCTTGTCCTTTGCCACCTGTCTTTGCAATCTCAAGGGGTTCTATCTGAGCATCTGGAAATCTTTGAGGCTGATAAGCTCACCATGGCTTTATTTGTCCTTCTTTAGCTCTTCTGGACTTCAGCCTCTCCACTCAGCACCAGGGTGTCTAGGTCCTTGCCCACAGCTGGGTGCGCTGTGCTTCGGGAGGCTGCGTGGAGTGCCACCAGAAAGGCTTGCTTTTTTTTCATTTCTCAGACTGAGGCTCACATCCTCCTCCCCTTCCCCGCATCTTTCCCCACCTCTTCTCGCTCCTCTTTCCCCACCCCTTTCCTAATCTGCCTTCTGTCACCACCCTGAGAAAAGAAGATCTGCTGACCAGGGGCATTGTTGCTAGATTCTCTCCTCCTTCCCTCCTTTCCCTCCCTTCCTTCCTTCCTTCCTTCCTTCCTTCCTTCCTTCCTTCCTTCCTTCCTTCCTTCCTTCCTTCCTTCCTTCCTCCCTTCCTTCCTTCCTTCCTTCCTTCCCTCCTGTCTTCTCCTCCTCCTTCTCCCTCTCTCTGCCTCCCTCCCTCCCCTCCACCCCCATCTCTCTCTCTCTTTCCCTCCTTTCTTTTTGGATAAAACCTGTGCTACCTCTTGGCTATCCTTGGTAGTGAGCCCCAGATTACTGCAAACACCACAGGATCAGAGCACCAATTCCTGATGCCTGTCAAGCTTCAGTAGACAGTTCCTGCTCCCTCTGTCCTTGCTCGCCCCCTAGTGGAGGTCCCTGGTAATGGCATCTCCTAGAGTTAAGCCCTAAAGATAGCAAAGCCCAGGGGCGGTTTTTGCCTTGGGGAGTTTGGGGGCCTAGAGTACTTTTGCATTTCTGGAGTGTAAAATGTGAAGGAAATAGACTGCATATGAAATTAGGACCTACATGATGGAGGGCAGTGGAAAGGAAGAGTGATGACAAAATCACATTTGTAGTTTTTAGAAGATGAGTAATAACAGTAATAGCTGGAGAGCTCGACCAACAGTACACATGGATCACCTCATTGAGTCTTCATGAAGGTTAAGTACTACTATTCCCCAGCAGGCACTATCATCATCCCCATTTAAAAGAGTGTCAGAAAGCTTAAGAAAGTTGTGTTTAGTCACAAAGCTAGTAAGAAACACAGTTGGGGTTTTGAACCCAGGCCAGTCAGTTCTGAAGCCCGTGCTCTTGATGATTAGGGAGCACATCTTCCGCCAGGAGTTTGGAGAATCCAGACCACAGGTTTGATGTGGGGACAAACCTGGAGCCAAGGAGCCCGGCAAAGTGCCGACGTTCTTACTATCATACCCCGAAGGAATATCTAGACTTGTATTTCTGAGTCTTCTTCAATTCTCACTTGACCCTTGTCTAATCAGGCTTTCAATCACACCAATTCCCTGAGACTGCTCCCACCAAGGTCCTCTGTCCTCATGTTATTTGACCAACCAGCCCCTGGCTCTCCTCCTACTTCATGGACTGTTCCTTCTCTGTTTCATTTGTTGGTCTGCCCTCATCTCTCCACTCTGCAAACCTTCAGAGTGCTCCAGTGCTCACCACTGTTTTTTTTCTTTTCTACCCCCACTGACTTGGTGATGCAAGCCAGCCTCTTCACCTTGAAGAGCATCTAAATGTTTGATGACTCCTAAATTTGTATTTCCAGCAAGGACTGTTCCCAGCCAAATGCCTACCTGATATCTCCATTTAGTTGTTTAAAAAGCCTCTCAAATTTTACACGTGCCAAACTGAACTTCTGAATTCCTCTTCCCAAGCCTCTTTACATCTCAGTAAATTATAACTCCATTCTTTAAGTTCCTTAAGCCAAAGCTTTTGGAGTTAATTGAGATTCCCCTCTTCTTTTGACAAATTATATCTAATAGGTCAGCAAATTTTGTTGGCTTTGCTGTCAAAATATCCAATCACTTCCATTCTATTATGCATCAAAACCACCATCATCTCTCACCTCTATTATTGCAGAAGTCCTCCCATGTAGACTCCACGTTTCTACCCTCTTCTTTTTATGGCCTATTTTCAACAAAACAACTTAAATGATTCAGTTAAAATGTGTATCACTCAGGGTCCCAGCCAGAAACAGAATTCACCCCAGATGAGTGAATTCTTCACCCACTGAAGAGTCTTTACTAAAGGGACCACTCACATAGATTGGGCAAGGCTAAGAAAACAAACATGAGAGGATGAGGCATCCAGAGTCTGGCGGTAGCAGGATGCAGCTGTACCTCTGGGACTGAAGATTCAAAGGAGGAGATGGTGTTAGAGTCCAGTGAGAATTGCAACCCTAAAGGAGAAGCCACCCATCAGGAGCTATACTGGAGGAGAGATACAGCTGCTTCTAGAGAGAACACCTGTGTAGGCAAAGGTTGGGTAAGACATATCCTGACCACTCTCTCTTCTTGCTCTTTGATCTCCTGTATGAGCCTCTTATTAGTCAAACCAATCAGACACCAGCCCGCCAGTGATGCAGTCTGCAGGGCTCAGCCTCTGGGACACAGGGCAGGGAGACCTGAGAATGGATGGGTAGTGAGGGAGGGCAGCAGAGGGGAAGAAAATAACCAGCAAGAGAAAACACACATCAGACCCTCTAGTGGCTTCTCATCCCACCCAGAGTAAAATCTAAAGTCCTTACATTGGCTCACAAAATCTTACATGGTCAGGCACCTGCTTCCTAATCACTTTTGTCCTCTGAGATTTCCATTCTTTTTTGTAAGCTCAGTTATTCATTTAAATTTATTTATTTAAATTTCACCTAGAAATTTAAAATATTATAGCAGAAGAGTGTTCAGAATATTAATCCTCTATATTCTCAGAAGCAGAAGGTCTAGCATTCAATAAATGCCAATTGAGTAAGTGGATAAATAAACCCCTTTTTGGTCATAAACTGCAAATGTCCCTTTCTTTTTTAAGGAAAGACTTTATCTCCTTTTTTTTTTTTTTTTTAGTCTCATTATTTTGTTGGATATCTTTGTTGTTCTACTGGTTTGTTGGACATTCTTATTTTTTGAAAACCAAGATCCAGGGTTTTCTTCAGAAAGCTGGTTTAGGTCATCAGGCATCCAGCCAAAACTACATTCAAGCTCCCGACTTGCACCAAGTCTACAAGGTACACCAACATTTCAGGCCCTTGTCCAAGAGAAGGAGAGACCTTGGGTCCATCCAAAGTTGGGTTTTGGGAGGGTGGGGGTGGGGTTATTTAGTGACATTGTCAGATATACACTCAATTTATTCACTTTTCTATACATTTTAAATTCTGGCCTTATATCAAGTTAGATTTCTAAAGGACTCAGACCACATCAACTTAGCCCCTCACTAAGTTCCCCTCACTGAGTCCATCAAATCTGTGTTTTTTGGCTTTTATCAAAGCATTTTTCATATGGATGTTTTTGAGTCATACGGATGGATTTTGTATTTGCTAAAAACACTTTTCTTGAATGTACAGTGACAAATTTAGCTTAAATTTAATGCACATTCATCTATACCATGGAATATGATTCAGCCACAAAAAGGAATGAAGTACTGACACATGATACAGTGTGGATGTACCTTGAACGCATTAGGCTTAGTGAAAGATGCCAGACACAAAAGGCCAGAGATTGTGTGATCCCATTTATATGGAATATCTAGAATAGGCAAATCCACAGAGACAGAAAGCAAACTGGTGGTTGCCAGGGGCTCTGGAGAGAGAGGAATAGGGACTGACTGTTTAATGGGTATAGGGTTTTCTTTTGCTGAGAATATTTTTAAGTAGATAGAGGTGGTGATTGCACAACACTATGAATGTACTAAATATCACTCTGAATTGTACACTTTAAAGTGGTTGCTTTTATGTTATATAAACTCTACCTCAATAATAATAATTTAAAAAATAGTGCACATTCAATCTAAAGAGAAGATTTGGGGTAGGCAAGGCCATGGGACAGGTTAGCAGCCACTTGAAGGGTTGTCGGGAGAAGAGTGGCTATTTGGCTATTCTGTGGTCCCCAAAGGGCAGAACTAGAATGAGTAGGTGAGCATTATAAACCATCGCAAAACCCCAGAGAGATTGAAACCAATGCTGGAGAACTATTTGGGTCATTGAGTACCACTGGCAGAAGAAGCCTTCCCTTGTGCCTCTCCCCTATCACAGATGACTGCAAGGCTTACTTGTTCATTGCTGCCAACCAAAGCTGCGTTCACCGCAGTTTCCAACATGAGTTTATCATGGGTAGAAGGAATGCGCAGTCTCACACAACAACCAGTAACCCCACAGCCGGGGTGCCCAGTTCTCCAATAGCATGCTTCTCCTCCACTCAGCTTGAACTACCTTCTCCCTTGGACACAGCCTCAAACTGTGTCGACTTCAAAATCACATACTCCAGCATCCCCCCCTTTAATCACGGTCACCTATTCTTGTAGATCTGGTGCTCAAGTATCTCACTGCAGCACTTGTCAATCATACCTCACTGAACCTCCAGGCCATTAACTAGTTCCTTTATTTCATCTTTATTTCCATTCTGTTCTGTACTATTGTCAAACCTATCTTGTCTCCATAACTGGATTTCAAACCTTGCCTTCTGAGACAACTCATTCCACTTGAGAAAATTGGTCCTGTTCCTTATCATGAGCCCATCTGCATTTGTTTGTCCACATATTCATTCATTCATTCAAAAAATATTTGTTAAGTATCTATGGTATATCAGGAATATGCTACATTCTAGGAACAGAGCAATGAACAAGGTAAATTGCTTCTACCCTTAAGGAACTTAGAATCTAGTAGAAAAGACAGGTATTAAGCAATTACACAATAATTAGTTACTTAGGATTAAAGGAAGGAAGAAAAATATGGGCTGTGAGAGCATTAAAGAAGTGACTTAATCTAAGGAGTCAATTGCCATGAAGGGACATTTGAGCAGAGAACCTGAAACCTGAGTAGGAGTCAAGCAGGCAAAGAATGGTGGACTCCTTGATGAGGAGGGTGAGTAACTGCAGGTGAAAGAAGCCGATGTGTTCAAAGGCATCAAAGTGGGCAGACATAGCTCTCCATTGTGGATGGAGTGCAATGCCTGAAGGGGCATGGCGTGAAATGAGGATGGGAGACAGGCAAGACTAGATTTTGTGTGACTTATGGGCTGTGTCACAGTCCCTCCCAACAGCAGACTGAGAGCCTGGAGACTCCGGGGATTTTATCATTTAATCCAGGGGTTGTGTTAAGGATCTGTTCTGAGGCTGTCGGTGAGAGCACAGCTGGTTAAGGGTTATTACAAGAACTATTGATAGGAAGGATTTGGCACCATTGGGAGAGTAAGGAGAAGAACAAAATCCCCTTAATTATAGCCAAAACTCTCTTGTGGTGTTGGTTGAACCATCTTATGAATATACCAAAACTATTGGACAGTACACTTAAGAAGGGTGAATTTTATGGAATGTGAATTTTATCTAAATAAAATAGAACTTTTAAGAAAGAACCTACACACAGAACTAAATATAAACATGTTTATTATCAAACTTTGTACTGCCATATCAAATACAAAATGGGTATGGCATAAGCTTAAATAAATATATACTTTAAAAACTATAAAATATTTTAAATCATAATTTAAAATACTTTATTAAACCGAAACGCAGACCACATTTACATTTCACACAGCTACTTCCATTGCAGTATATATAAATATTTATATTTACAGCATTTGAACAATTTCAGAGAAAATAATAATCCATTCCATAGGTAGCCTGCTCACAGTAGTTGTTTATTTCTCTCTCCCTTATTTCACAGAGTTCTTTCGCTCTGTCAAAATCTCTGACCTTCTGACCCTTAGCATTCCTCCCTGTTTGCTTTTGGCTTCGCCTTGGCCAACATACAGGCAGCACTTGTCCGAAACTTTGCTTTTTCAACACATCCTAGATTAGTGAAAGTGTGGGAGAGTTTTGATTCTCTTGTCATTTGCAGGATGGAGTGAGAAGCTCTGGCGATGGACAGGCCAAGAATTTCTCACTGCCAATGATCAAGTGATAACTGGAGATTCCTTAGGAATTTTAACCTCCTTTATAAATAAATATAAATACACACTCATCCAGACCTTCCTTTCTTCATGAACACCCTAACAAACAGAATAATGCAATTAGGGAATAAACATTAAAAGTCTCCACTTAAAAAAGAAAAAATCCACTGGACAAATCCTTTATATGGTGAGTTCCTATCATGAATTTAAAATCTTACACAATATGCAAGAATTATATGTTGATGCATCGCATCTGACAACATCTTTGTAGGGATGCAAAGCACATCCATATTTCTACAGTTTTTTAAACAAAGATATGCATAAAAGTGTACCTTCATTTGTTTGCATTTACACTTTTTTTCAAATCAGAACACTTGGCCTCATGGAAGTTTTTCATCATGGAAAACCACATACCTCTGAAAACAGAGATGACAGTGTACAAGCGTATGCCATTCATGTTCTACTCTCCTGACACTACTCATGTTTTTACTTATTTTTTTTTAAAATAGGCTCCATGCCCAGCATGGAGCCCAATGGGAGCTTGAACTCATGACCCTGAGACCAAGACCTGAGCTGAGATCAGGAGTCAGATACTTAACAGACTGAGCCACGCAGGAGCCCCACTACTCATGTTTTTAAAGCAACTATAGTAAAACATTCACAACTTTATACTGGTTAACATTATACATTGCTGGGGGACAGCATTTGTCCTTTTTTGAAATAAATTTACTACAGACATAACATTATGTTTGTTAATAAACAAAGATCTAGGATAAGTAACTTTTACCTTAACATAGTCTTAACATGCACATATTTTAAAGTCCCTACAACACTTGTATTGAATTAAGAATTAGGGAAGATTGTACTTTAGTCAATGCAAATAAAAGAATACAATCTCTAAGAGCACTTTATAAAGCACTGAGTCCCACAGGGATAAAAGTGATTAAGACTGTGCTTAGTAATCCTCACACAGAGTATTAAGTAGGATTTCCCCAGGCACTCGCCTGTGGGCATTAAAAAATTATCATTTTTTGCACTTTGGTGATAGAATATCTTTGGCCAAGTTGTTTTCCCTAAACTCCTAAGAATTATTCATCCCCATGACAGCAACCATGTAACCAGTAGTTGAGACACAGTGAGGGGCAAAAGAAAGAAACAATACCAAAAATACTGTGTTTCTCCACTGAGATCTCATAGTGAGCAGGGGAGAGAGTTAGAACAGGAATTCTGAGATTCCAGAGCCTGAGTCTCTTTACTTTTGTCCAGAAATGAATATGCTTTTCCTCCATCATCCAGCACTTTCCAGATGCTGAGAACAGGAAAGAGAAAGCTGAGTGTTGCTGGTGGCAGGCTGGCCTCGCCCACTAGAGTGTGGACCCTTGAAGTCCTCATGGGTGCCATGCTCCCAGCTGTAAAAGCAGTGGATGTGGGAGCTGAGAAGTACCAGAGACCAGAGGAGCCCTTTCTGTCTCTGCCATCATCAGGGTATTTCTCTAGTTCCCTGGAGGTACCTGTGTTCCTGCAAACAAAGAATGCATGCCGTCAGGACACTTAATATTCTGCATTAATAGCAACAACAAAATTCACTTTCTAGCACAGACCACTGTGTTCACTGTCACTGGAGAGTACAAGTATGAACAACAAAATCCTATTCAGTTAGGGCAGTGAAACTATTCTGTATGATACTGGAATGGTGGATACATGTCATTATACACTTGTCAAATCCCATAGAATATACAAAACCAAGAGGGAACTCTAATGTAAACTGTGGACTTTAGTTAATAATAATGGATTTGTATTGGCCCATCAATTGTAACAAAATGCCACACTAACACGAGCTGTTAATAATAGAAGACATTGGAGGTTCGGGGGGTATGTTAGAATTCTAGTTATATAACAACAGTCCATATCTCATGCAATTCCTAGTTTAGAACAGTTTCTAGAAGATAGTAAGTGCCACATAAGGGTTAACAATCAGCATTTCAAAAGTGAAATGACTCTATAAAGGCCAAATCTTGTTTTTTTCCTCTCCTTCTACAAAGAAATGAAACAACCTTCCATAAAACACCACGAAGCTGGTGATTCTCCCCCAAGAAACTGGCAGGTTTGGAGGGCTCAAGGAGCAGCAGAACGTGAAGAGAGGATACATTCTTTCAAAATCATATGTGATTTCAAGTCTTACCTGATTCCGTTTGACTTAAAATGACTACAAAGGCATGTGGAAGGATCCGTCTGATTGAAGGCTTTGGCAGCTGCTGCTGAATACACGAGAACACTAAATTAACCCCTGTTTTCCGACATAAACAGAGAAAAATGTGTAGAATATTCAATGGCATGCTTTGGACAAGAGTGCAACTTACCTGGCAGGAACAAATTTCTTTGCTGCAAGAAAAAGAAAACCATTAATTTGGACTAAAGGACTTTTAAGAAGATATCACATTCAGAAACAATATGGTTCTATTCCCCAGGGACTGCAAACTCTACGCCTTCAGGGCCCCTGTGATAAGCAGAGTGCAAACACAGCCTGTTGCCAAGGGGGTAAAGTGCAAAGCACACACTCATCCTAAGGGCCCAGCAGTTTCCTAATGCTAGCGATAGCTGCAGGCTCTGCGTGCTGAGTTCATCTGCCAGTTTTTCATGAGAAGTCCCAAATCTAGATTTTATGTGAGATTTCCCATTTTATAAATGTCAGAACTTAATTTAAAAAAATGTTAACTATTCCACAAGCCAAACAAACTGTGAGTGTGGCTAGATGTGTTTGCAGGGTCCCCAGGAGATACTCCCACATTTAAGCCTGTATTCCCAATAAATGTTTTGGAAACATTTTCGCCATTTCCTGGAGCACAACCCTATAGCTCACTGCACAACTCTCAGGGGGGCCACAGAATTCCCGGTGAATGGCATCCCTTGGAACTGTCCACTGTTAAATAACATGTATATTTCCTAAAACCCTTCCCACTTTGAGTTGTACTATATACTCTTTCTCTAAGACCGTGGCTCAATTATACTGTTCTTCAGTGTTTCTCTAGTAACTCGAGTCTAATTACTAATGTGCAAGAGAGAACATGACTCATCAATGAGAAAAAGAAATACATTTTTCAGAACATTTTTGAAGTATGATCCCAAGCTCCCTTACCTCTCTTGCGTAGGCGTTTCAGGAGCCAGAGGAGAAATGAGGCTGATGTCAAGAGGGAGGTCCCAGCAGTGGCGAGTCCGATTGCCAGGGGAACATTGGACTCAGTGGGAGCTAGGGAAACAGAGAGGGAAGAACTGTCATGAGAAGAAACTGAATTTAAAGTTTTTCTGTTCTGTCCATTTGCCCTTTCCTTTGCACACTGATGAGCCGTCTACATCAATACATATGGAGGAGACGTGGTAGGGACTAAAGGCTTCTGAGATGGGCCCAAACCACCTGTGGCAGCTTGTCTCCCGCCACTGCCAAGAGACCTCTAACCTGCCAAGCTCTTCACAGAACCCACTGCACCTCGGTCAAGACTACATGCGTGCTCTCTCCATTACTTGTCTTCCTTTTCCCTACTTTGACCTCTAGCTCTCCTTTTTCCACTTGTCAGAATTCTACCCATTCCATCCACCCGTCACCTCTTCTGTTTCCTCTCTATCACCATAATATTAAATATTCACCAGCTTCTCAACCTTGGAACCTTCCTAGTGTGAACATAATGAATGGTTTGTTACCTTCCCCTTCTTCTGTCTAGCCCTCCCAGACAGCCCCGACACCAATCAGTACTTCACCTTCACAGGTAGGCGGCATCCCAGACCAGTGTCCTGTGGCATCACATGTCAGAGCTGCAGACCCATTGAGTGTCCATCCTTCAGGACATGCAAACGCACACACAGTGCCAAACACAGGCTCCTTGCTGCAGCTCACGTTCATCTTTCCAGAAACTGTCAGACTTGAACATTGTACCACTGCAAATTATGGACACATGGGTGGAGGTTAACAAAAGTCTCCTGGAAAATGTCTAAAACTGGCTGAAAAGTCATAATAAACGTAACTTATAAGCACTACTTAGTTTTCAGCATGTAAGAAATTAGGATCACACCCATTAGGGCAATCTAGCTTCAGACACATATGAAATATTTGACCTTATCCCTTAGAGTCTAAATTCAATCCTACCTTGGCAGGAGGGGACCTCCTGTGTCCACTGTCCCTGAGATGTGCACTCAAGCTGAGCTGACCCACGTAATTCAAAGCCTTCCTCACAGCTGAAGGCACAGGAGGACCTGTAGCTGAACTCTCCAGTAGAGGAATGGGCGCACCTCACGGAGCCATGCTGGAGCTGCCGGACAGCATCACATTTCACAGCTGAAAGATATGAGTAAGCACATTAGAAGTCTGTATCAGGAAGCAACAGTTTTCTCATGTCATCAAGTCCCTAGCTCTTCAATTGTTTTTATCTTAAAAACAAAAACTGTACCTTCACATGTGGGCTCCTCACTGTCCCATTCGCCTGTGGGGCCGCACTGGAGTTTTTTGGATCCCTTCAACACAAATCCCTTCTCACAGAAGAACTCACAGCTGGACTCACTTTGGAAATTTCCAGAAGCACTAGGAAGACAACTCATGTAGCCTTTCTCTGGGATGGACAAGGCTTTGCACTGAAAAGCTGAGATACCAAAATGATGGTCAGAAAATATTGCAGTGGAACTGGAGAGTGCTTAGCATTTGATGAATGAACCCATTCATTTTGGACAAAGCAATGCTCAGCGATCTCAAGGCTCTTCATTACTCCCTGGACAACTGGGAAGATGAGGGTGTTTTCTTTGAATGCCAATCCCTTCATTGATAATGGCACTCAGTAAAGGATAGCCTTTAATAGAACCAGTGGTTCCTGAACACCGTTCTGACATTTGAAAGAAGTTACAGTCAAGAGAAAGATTTTATGTAGTCAGAGAGCAAATTATGGGTCCCGGATGCTAACAGATGATGCCAAAACACAAAAGGAAGGTAAGAAGGCAGCACAAAAAATGTGTCTGCTTTGCAGTTTGGTTTTGGTCTTGTGGCTTCTTACCACTGGAAATCATTCTGTGCTATATTTGGCAACAGAAATACCAGAACATGATAATGAAAACTGCTTGTTTTCAACATCACTGCTCTTGCTTTAAAGTGAATTAAATTTTAGTGCTTATGTAGGTATTAAGGGTGTCTTTACACATGGCACATTCTTGTCACTGCTAATTATGAGCAGTTTCAGAAGAAAAGTATTACAAGAGTTTTAAAATCAAGTCATGGTCTCACAATCCTACTTTTAAATGTTCTCATGTGATTTCCCCTTAGATTAAGGTGTCTGCCTACTCCGTGCCAATGTCTACAAAGCCACGTTAGCACAGCACAAGAAACCGGCCAAGCATCCACTCTTAGTACGTACAATCCTTTCCCTGGATAAGCATTGGCTCTTTTATATGAAACTCAAAAACATAAGATGAACATTGCCCATCACATCTGATTACTCTAGTTAAAGTAAGCATCTGGTTTCATTTTAACTGCCCAAGTTCGAAGATTGCTGCCCTTTAAGGAAGGGGGTATGTTAAGGAGAAGCTCTTGGGCTTACCTTCACAAACTGGGACTTGCTGATTCCATTTCCCTTGTGCGGTGCATTCAAGTTGGGCTGGCCCCTGCACCAGGAAGCCTTCCTCGCATGTGAAATTGCAGGAGGACCCGAAGGTGAACTCGCCAGCTGGGGAGTGGCTGCAGCTCACAGACCCATTCTGAGGATGGTCAATGGCCTCACATGTCACAGCTGTAACATAGACACCCACGTACATTAGCAGGTCTGGTCTGACCATTTCAAGTACAGGTTGAGAAAAAGAACATTTACAGTAAATCTTGACATGGGGCAACTCTACCTTTACATGTTGGCTTCTTGTTGTCCCAATTCCCAGATGAGGTACACTGGAGGTGCTTGGGTCCCATTAGTTCAAATCCTTCTTCACACTCAAAGGCACAAGTTGTGTTCCATGGGAAGTTTCCAGAGCTTTCGAGACAGTCCATAGTGCCATTGGGAGGCTTTGTCAAAGCATTGCACTCAACCACTGGGGATTTGAAAGAACACCATGAATTTTACAGAAGAATGATATGTTTACTTCCTAGAGAGTTGAAATTTATAAGATGGCAAGGAAGCAGCTTTCAAACAGTAAATCCCAAAGTCCTAAGTTAATGTAGGGGGACGTGCACATACACTATAAAGTTTTTATGCTCTTTTATTAATACTTTCATCTTCTCTGATTGATTTATACTTTGACTACGTTGAGTGGTCTCTGATCTATGTTATCATATCTCTCATGTCTCTGATCTACTTTACGGAAGGCAAAAACAAAGAAAAAAAGTTTCTCAATCAGGATTTATGACTAGTTGTGAAAACAAAAATACTGACATACACAGGACATTCATTTATGTCAGCCCAGCAGGACCTGGAGGCAAAAAGTCTTCATCTCCAGCCTAGAAAGATAAGCCTGAGAGAGAAAAAGAGCTGTTGGGACTGCTTGATTCCCATGGTCTTATGCATCTACTGCATCAAGAAAGGCCAACCAGGAGAAGTCGTGAAGATTTCTTGAGTGTGGTGCCAGTGCTACAGCACTCTCTTACACGTCACCAGAGCCTCAGAAGCACCCATCTCAAACACGGTGGTTTTTCTAAAAACCTCTCTCAAACCAAGCAGACACCGTACTGACCAACACATATTGGCTGGGAGAAGTCTTATTAAGAACAACATTACAAAAAGAACTTTCCCTAGAGTTTTGAAAGTGCTATAAGTTGGATAAAAACAAACAAACAAACAAACAAACCAAGGCCAAGAGGGATGAGTCAGAGAGTGTTGTGTGCATTTGGAGAGAGATTTACCATTGCAGGCGGGAAGAGGAGCACTCCAGTCCCCTGTGGAAGTACACCACGTGGTCTCTGTGCTGCTTGGGAGGTAACCCTTTTCACAGCTGACGGAGCAGGAAGAATTGTAGCTGAAGTGCCCCAGAGGGTGAGTGCAAACCAGGCTTCCGTGCCCAGGGTCTTCCTGTGCTCGACAGGTCACAACTGAAAGGAGAAACCACATCAGATCCTCTGTCGCCTAGCATAAAGTGAGAAAGCCCGGGGAAGGGAGGACATGCACACCTGACACCCAAGCCAGCTGGGACACGGGAAAGTGCTACCGACTCAAGCGAAGGAGCAGGTGAGATGGGGACCTACCTTGCTCACACCTGAGTCCACTGAAGCCGGGGTAGCACTCACAGGTGTAGCTGTTGACAGTCTCCACACACTCACCATGGCCGCTGCAGGATGTAGGGGTACAGGCAGCTGCAAAAAACACAATGAGGAAGAGGATCGTCATTGTGCTTATAATGCGTTTCTTTGGGTTGAGGATCAACAGTGTGTGACAGAGATGTCACCATTTATAGGGACTTCCAGAGATTTTAGCTGAAGTGCTTCACGCAATGCCAAAGCTGGGTTTTAAGCTAAGCTGATGTTAATATGCAGGTGTCAGGGGTACAGTTGTCATTGGCATCAAGAATAGAAAATTCTCTTTATCACAAACTTTCAAGATAGTTTTCCTTCTACAAGTAAATGAGTAACTAAAATATGCGTTGTATGTGCATACACTGCCTATGTATTGACCTACATATATACATACATTCTTGCCTGAATTCACACAAAGAGGCAAAAAGATATAATTTGCCAACAGAATGTTTTAAAATTATATTTTTTAGGAACATAACATTACCATAATAGAGACCAGGTTTTGCATACTGTCAATAATTTGTCGAGATGCCCTCAGCCTGAAACTCCCTCCCACGGCTGCCTCAAGTCCCATACCTGTGTAACACAAGGCAAGCTTCTTTTTGTCGCATCTCTCATCATTCCACTTGCCCGTGTCCTTGTCCCTCTTGATGTAGATCTCCACACAGTCTTCATTGGTTTGCTTATTGTTCGGTTCGCCTGGAGCCCAGTTCTTGGCTTCTTCGGTCAGAAGCTTCTGGGTCCCTATCCAGGTCCACTGCTTATTGACCTTTCTGATTCCGATCCAGTAGTAAGTTGGTGAATAGCTGAACATGGAGTTCAGGTACTTAATTTCTTCTTGGTTTTGTATCGCAACCAGATGCGTGTACCTTTGCTGACAGTAAGCACTAGCTTCGTCAAAAGTCATGGTTTCTGTGGAGGCATTGTACGACCAGGCCTCGCTCTCTTTAAACAGGAGAAGCGCTAAAAGGGAAAGTGTGAAAGGCATGGAAAGGTTAGTCCTGCTATAGTTTGACTCTATTAACTGCGCTTTTTACAGTCTTATTTTCATCAACCAGTGGCCTTGGAATGACTTGAATTTTTTTTACCTTTTCCAAAGTAAGAAGAGGTATAGATGGAGAAACCATTTATTGTGTGTATCTTTTGTGGTTGAGCCTCTCTGCACTCACTCACCACAATCTATCAGGGTATCCACTACGGTAGAATAATAATCAGAATAACTAAGCCTACTGAGCACTTAATATGCACCACAGAACTGTCTGAGGCCATTTCCATAATACTGGATTCTCACAATGCCTCTGGGAAATAGGCCACTCATGATCAACACTTTACACTTTAGGAAGTTGAGACACAAAGAGGTAAATTGTCTCTATCCCAGGATGGAATGCATTGTGCAGAGAGGCCAGAGATGCTGCTAAACATCCTACAAAGCATGGACCCCCACAAAGAGGAATTATCCTGCCTGAAATGCCAAGTGTCCAGGATGAGAAACCCTGATCTAACGAATGATATTGACTTACCAAGAGTGAGAACAGGGAGAAGCTGTGAAGCGATCATGACTTCTAGGATTCTTTTTTTTTTTTTATCAAAAGATGAGTCTTGAAATGCCCTTCTGGGGGGAAAAAGTACAAAATTCATTACAGAAAGAAATTTTAGGTAGCTGGTTACTGAGATCATTTTATGAAGATGTTTTCAGCAGTATCATAAGATTTTAGCTAAAGGATAACAGTGCCATCATCTTAGTTTGTTTCAAGGAAGTCGACTGGAATGAATACATACAAAATTTAAGGTTTTCATCATTTAGGTGAAAGAGAAAAGCCAGAGTTTAACTGGTCTGGATACAACAAGAACATGCACAGGTCTTTTATCAAAAGGCTTTCTGCATCTCTATTCATATTGACAATCCTGTTGGCATATTGACAATTCATATTGACAATCCACCCTTGTAAAGACTCTTTTGAACTTACTGTTCTGTCAAGTGGTGGCTTTGGTGCCCGCGTTGGAATCCTGTTTGTGTCACTGCTGCTTCTGTCTCGTGCCACTTAGCAGTTCTGATGTGAAGTCAGCCAAGAACAGCAGAGCGCTGCTCCTGCCGGAGCCCCTTTATAGGGAAGCTCGCTTCCTGTGAGTAATTTCCAAACCCAGTAAAGAGGAATTCCCCAGCAGCATCCAAAATTTTCCCGGGAATATCCATAACACCGAAAAATTACAGTGATGTCAGAAACTCAAGTCCTCCAAGCCTTTTTATTTTACATGAATGCTATTAATATTGGCACAAATGTGGGGTTTTAAATAACATAAAATTGATGTCTTTAAAAAATTTGAAAACTTTGCTCTTTAGCAGCATCTCTCCTGTAATTGTGGTAGTAACCAGAATTTCATGAACATAAGCAAATTCAGCCTTAGTTTTATTATCTGTGGGCTACCATTCTTAATTTTCTTATCTGTAGCTGTCAACAGTGGACCACCAATCTTTTGTTTTTTCTCTCTCTCACCTACCAGTACAACCCATTTTAAGGTACACTGTCTCACAGAGGAATGAATCACAAGGTATATATTAATCCTTAAATTCTGTGGATAGTTATAGCTAAATTACTAGAAATAATATCTCCCAGGTAAATGTTTGAAATAAGGCTTTGTTTCTTAAAAATAACAAAAATGGGAAACAGACTTAGTTGTCCATGTCTGGAAAATGCTTATTCATGATTTGTTAAGTGAGAAAAAATAAAGATGAAAACTATATGTACTCATAGTTACTTGACTCCAATTTTATTTAACAGTTTTAAAATATGTATGTGTAAAGAATAACAAAACTATACCAAAATGTTAACAGTGGCTATCTCTCATGGCAAGACTTGGGGTAAGTTTTATATTCTTAATGATTATTTTCAGCATTTTCCAACTTTGGCAATGGCCCTCCATTACTTTTATAGTAAAAATAACACAGTATAAAGAATCCTGTGTCCAAATGCAACTGAAGGAGATATATATAATATCACTTATTCTGCTCTTCATTGTGACATTTCTTTGGGGTGATATCTCCAAATCTGCATCTTGTCTAATTTAAACAATAGACACAGTAAGTGGGGATCATTTTAATTTCCACAGGAAAAGTTGTGACCCCTACAAGCACCTTCCAGAAGATCCTAATTCCAAAGCAAATTCTCTCTGTGGCTAAATTTACATTGAGAGAACTTCGGGGAGAGAACCCAATACCAGAAGGAGGTATAAGAGAAAGAAGACATGGAAGAAATTTGAGAGTAAAGATAACTTATTATTAGAGGTATGGGGGGGATATTCCAAACCCACTCACCCTTAAAGTTATCCTGCATTCTCCTAGAATATGCCCCTGAGGTTGAGCCAGCAAATTAGGCACCTGGGGACTGGGGGCTGAGGGGCTTTCCTCAGTCTGCCTCTCATGGAGAGACGTCAGCACAGTGAGGGGTAGGAGGGGGCGACAGCGACTGTCAGGATCTGATGAGGGCACCCACTTGCTAGAGATGGAGGATGAGTTGAAGAAATTGGGTGAGAGCTGAATAGTTGGGGATGTTGAGTGTTATCTCCCCCTCCCCCAAATAAACCTATGTTCCCTGAGTAACAGGCTGACTAGAGGTGCTTCAAGTCCCCATTGAATCTCCCAGGCTCTGAAGATGTAGCTGGGTTTCAACTCCGGCTTCATATGGACTCCTTTACAGCATCCACACTGGGAGGGCTAAGGGAAGAGGAAAGACAGTGCAAACATGGGCTCACCCCAGGCGCCACTACCAGAGCTATTTCCTCTGTGAGGCGCCACACTCCCTGGCTTCTTCACCTTTTTTCCTGGAAGTCATTTGTCTTCTCCTCTCCAGCCTTTAATGGGCATTAAGGACTTTACCAACTTTCCCTTCTGTGCCCAGATCCATTCCTACCTTTATGGTGAAGAGGCATCCCCGAGGGAGTGAGAGATGGCCAGGAAAAGGATTTGGGGGTTGCCAAGACAAATGTTCCATTTTTATCCAAAGCTGTACACTACCAATAGCTAGGGACAAATAAAAGCTACAGACAGGAGACTATTGGGTTTAATGGGAGGTAGCACCAGCCATAACCACATGGGGCAAGACCAACGGTCAAGGTGTGAATTTGGCTTTGGTTCCTCACTGCTGAAGGGAACTGCAAGGCATGGGCACTGACCTTCCCAAGGCTCTCAGTTGGTTCCTTTATGTCTGAGCAGTTTTGTTGGGCACTTTTTTTTTTTAAAGCCTTGATAGCTTCCCCCCCACATTCTACTCTGCCAAACACCTAATGTGCTTCTGCAGAGTCTAATGTGGGGAGAAGAAATCCCAATATGGATATAATTCTATTTACAGAATAAAAATCTGATATTTCTCGCACACCCAACATTGTGAAATAAAATTAACAATATCATGGTATAAAAATGGCATTTCTTGTTTCATCAGAGCATAAGACTATTTGATGGAAAACTGATCTGGTTCCCTCTGAATTTATTCCCCAGGAAGGCATGTTCACTCATCTGGGATTTGTAGCTATCTTAGAACACCTGGGTCAGGCAGGAGCCCTGGGCTTTGTCTGAGCTCCCACACCCAGGGAGCTTGTTTAAAATGCATGCCTTCAGGTCCAACACTTCAGAGACTCTGATTCAGTGGGTCTGGGTGGGCCCAGGAATGTACACTATCAATGACCATCTCAGGTGATTCTGAGACAGATGCCCAAACCCCACCACAGTTTGAGATAGAACAGCCCAGGGCCACCTAAGTTAGGAGAGACTATCAAGAAGACCCTATGGCTGGTGCTCAATTACAGGTACCAGAATTTCGACCAAAATGTCACTGTAGCTAATCCTGACACCTTCTCTGCTGAAAAACTAGAGGTCCTGCTTGTAACAGTGCTGGTCCCAAACAAGGAATATTTGGGATGAGTGGATGCTCTGAGTTCTTATACATGAAAAGTAAGTGGTTTTTAACCAAAGAAAGAGAATAGCTGCTGAAGAAATGATGTGAGTATGGAGATATTCAGTTAATTTCCTACTGTCCTTCAAAAGGACCCTGTATTTCCACTAATTCCCCATTATGAACTTCCTAAACAATTCTGAGACTTACAAATTTGATGTGTTTCCTTGCTTCCTATCTGGCAGTACCTTATCTTGAAGTTTCCGGTTTCTGTTTTGGGATCTAAGAACTAACTAATGGGAATATCTTCAAAATGAGCCAACTGCGGTGAATTCCCAAAGCAGAAGAAACAAGTGCGGGCAGCCTGGTGGATTGACAGAGCTTTTCCTGAGTGTAGCCAGACTGTTTGCCGACACTGGGTAACTGGCTGCAGAAAATATCCCTGGTTTTCAGAAAAGTCCCCTTGCTTGTTTTCCTTGGCCAGCACTGCTTGTTTTGTAACACAGAGGTTTCCTAAAGGACTATTCTTAGCTTTGCTCTCAGTGCTTCATATCAGAAAAGTTGGGGTCTGGTCACTGAATACCAAGAGATTGCTGTTTCATACTAGTTAGCTCCGTGGCGGTGTAGAGCAAGATTTTTTGTCTCTTTAAGCCCTAGATTTCCCATCCGAGAACCAAAGGTGTTTGATTAAGTCCTTGCTGCTATAATATATTATAACATACTGTGTAATAATAGGAAGATGAACCATGAGAGACTATGGACTGTGAGGAACAAACTGAGGGTTCCAGAGGGGAGGGTGGTGGGAGGATGGGTTAGCCTGGTGATGGGTATTAAAGAGGGCACATATTGCATGGAGCACTGGGTGTTATATGCAAACAATGAATCATGGAACACTACATCAAAAACTAATGTTGGAATGTATGGTGATTAACATAACATAATAAAAAAAACTACTAAAAAATAATAGGAAAAGACACCAATTTAAATTCAACTATTCATTATTTTTCCTAGCTGTGACGTTTTTAGGTAATAATCAATAATGATATCATATATAAAGCACCTAATGGATACCAAGTGCCTTACATACATTACTTCATACACATTTCACATAATAAAAGGCAGACATTATTAATTTCATTTTGCAGAGGATGAAACATGGACCTAGAGAAGTTAAACAATGTGCCTGTGGTGTTTTTGAGTTACTAAATGGTCAGCAGGGATTCAAATCCATGTTTGTGTTCTTCTAAAGACCACATTCTTTGTGTTCATTCCATGCCTGCTCAGACAGAAACCCCAGAAGGAAATATACCTGAGTTTTTGTGTGAAAAAAGTGTTAAAGCAACCTCTTTCACTTCCCATACCCCTAGCTGGCCCTGTAAATTCAGTGTCTTTGGTTGGGATCCTTTCACAGTAGACCCTAAGACAAGGATGTGGGTGAAAATCGTTTATTTGGGAGATGATCCAAGGAGCATAGTAAATGAGTGAGGAAGTAAGACAGGGAAAGGAAGGAACCTGGTAAAGTGTATGCTAATAGACAGGTTACCACTGTGGGAACAAGGCCTCAGCGGCCCGCCCCCTGCAGGGAGCTCTGGGAGATATCTAACTATAGCCCGAAGGAGGGGTGAGGGAGCTGGGGTGGACCCACCAATTCCAGTCTGTCATTTGCTGAGGGCTGACCCTGGGAGGAGGTGGTTAATTTCTGCACTTCCAAATTGATTCCTGAGGCCAGACAAAGCCCACCACAGTGAGTGGCAGGTGCTTGCAAGTGGAAATGACATGATCTGACTTCTGTATGTCGTGTTGGGACAAGATGGATGTGTTAGTTTACTACCACTGCTGTAACAAATTACTGCAAATTTGATGGCTGAAAACAACCCAAATTTATTATTTCATGGTTTCTATAGGTCAGAAGTATGGTGGATGGTTTCTCTGCTCTGGGTTTCACTTTGTCAAAATCAAAGTGTAAGTCAGTTGGGCTCTTCTTGGAAGACTCTGGGAAGAATCTACTTCCAGGGTCATTCAGATGGTTGACAGAATCCAGATTTTTATGGTTGTAGTACTGAGGTCCCTGTTTCCTTGCTGGCTATCAGCCAGGAGTCACTCTCAGTGTCTAGGGGCCACCTACATTCCCTGGCTTATGACCCCTTCATCTTCCAAACTCAGCAGTAGCTGAGTCCTTCTCTCAAATCTCTC